AAATATGAAGAGAATAAGCAAATAAGAAAAAAATAAAGAGAAAAAGGAAAGAAATCGTGCAAGAAAGAAAGAAAGAAAGAAAGAAAGAAAGAAAGAAAGAAGGAATTTCCGGGACAGAAATAAAGAAATAATGCATGGAAAGAAAGAAAGAAAGAAAGAAAGAAAGAAAGAAAGAAAGAAATAAATACAGGGAAAAATGCAAAGAAAGAAAGATAGAAAGAAAGAAAGAAAGAAAGAAAGAAAGAAAGAATACCCGGAAAAGAAATAAAAAAATAATGCATGGAAAGAAAGAAAGAAAGAAAGAAAGAAAGAAAGAAAGAAAGAAAGAAAGAATACCCGGAAAAGAAATAAAAAAATAATGCATGGAAAGAAAGAAAGAAAGAAAGAAAGAAAGAAAGAAAGAAAGAATACCCGGAAAAGAAATAAAAAAATAATGCATGGAAAGAAAGAAAGAAAGAAAGAAAGAATACCCGGAAAAGAAATAAAAAAATAATGCATGGAAAGAAAGAAAGAAAGAAAGAAAGAAAGAAAGAAAGAAAGAAAGAATACACGGAAAAGAAATAAAAAAATAATGCATGGAAAGAAAGAAAGAAAGAAAGAAAGAAAGAAAGAAAGAAAGAAAGAAAGAAAGAAATTCCCGGAAAAGAAATAAAGAGATAATGCATGGAAAGAAAGAAAGAAAAAAAAGAAAGAAAGAAAGAAAGAAAGAAAGAAAGAATACCGGAAAAAAGAAAAAAAATAATGCATGGAAAGAAAGAAAGAAAGAAAGAAAGAAAGAAAGAAAGAAAGAAAGAAAGAAAGAATACCGGAAAAGAAATAAAAAAAATAATGCATGGAAAGAAAGAAAGAAAGAAAGAAAGAAAGAAAGAAAGAAAGAAAGAATTCCGGAAAAGAAATAAAAAAATAATGCATGGAAAGAAAGAAAGAAAGAAAGAAAGAAAGAAAGAAAGAAAGAAAGAAAGAAAGAAAGAAAGAATGCCCGGAAAAGAAATAAAGAGATAATGCATGGAAAGAAAGAAAGAAATACAATGAAAAAGAAAGAAAAAAGAAAATAGAGAGAGAAATAGAGAAAAGTAATCAGAAAGAAATACACAAACAAGAAAGAAAGAATGAGAGACTAGAAGAAAAAGGGAAGGAAGCAAGGAAGGAAGGAAGGAAGGAAGGAAAAGAAGGAAGGAAGGAAGGAAAAGACAATTGAGAGTGAATGAAAGACAGATAATTTGTCAGAAAAAAAAATAAACTAGAAATAAGGAAAGAAGAATGAGTGACAATGAGAAAGAAAGAAAGACAAAGAAAATAGCGATTGAGAAAAAGAGAGAAAACTAGTCAGAAAGAAAGAAACAGACTAGAAAAAAAACAATGATTGACAATGAGAAAGAAAGAAAGAAAGAAAGAAAGAAAGAGAAAATAGTGAGTGAGAGAAAAGTAGTCAAAAAGAAAGTAATTACAAAAGAAAGAAATAAAAAACGTATCAGATAGAATGATAGAGGAAGAAAGAAAATAGAGGAAAGCAACTAAAAGAAAGATAGAGTAAAATAAAAGAGAATAAGTAAAAGAAAAAAAATAAGCGTGAATAAAATTCGATGAAGAGAAGAGGAAAAGAGAGTGATCAATTGAAGAAGGAGAGGAATAGAGATGAAAGAATAGCAAAACAAAAAGAGAAAAAGAAAAGGCCAAATCGAGGTTAGAATATACAAATAATTAGGAAAATATTTAGACTGTTGCATTTGCATAGACGAGAGCGGACCGAGGCCACAAATACGTAGCACCCAATCAGAATGAAACTTATTCCACAATGTGAAGTAAGGCCAATAAACATTTTATCACAGTCAAGAGTAATTCGGATAAAAAGCTTAACTGAATCTATTCTAATGCCAAATAAGTGGACTGTGCAGTGAAGATTGCAAGACTAACGAATCGGTTGACTAACCGATTCGTTAGTCACAATCACAATATTGTTGAAAAATATATTGGAATTTGAGTTTGAACAATAGTAAAATTGATTTACCGTATATTTCCGCGTATAAGACGACATTTAAATCCCCAAACTCATGCTTAAAAGTTGAGTGTCGCCTTATAATACAATTCTAATAAAGAAACCTGGAATTCAGAATGATGTTTGTCAGGAGGCTAACGTGGGCCTCGCTGCGATAACGAATAACGTACATAAAAAGATTCACATTATCAAATAAACTGATAATAAAAGTAACAAAATTATTTCTACCTTATATATTACTGGCATAATTTTATAAAAAAAATTGCCTATTCGAAGAAAAATTCCATATTAATGAAATCAGTTTGTATCGATCTTTGAAGATCTTAAAAAAAAAAACTATCGAAATGCAAGGACCTTGAAATCGAAATCTCAAATGTGTGGCACATGTTGACATCACTAATTCCAGTTGTAGTTGTAGCCTTCATATTGATTGGAAAAGGTTCTAAATGACTCGTTGAAGGGAGACTTGGTAGCCCATGCCTTAAAGAAATACAAAAATTGTACTTACAAGTACAGCTAACACATTACGAAGAGTTTTATTTATGTAAAATGTGTGTGATCTTAGGGTATTTTGCTTTGTTTTTTTTACAAAAATGATCAGTTGAAAATGTCATGGAGCTTTTTCTGACTTTAGGTCGCTGGTTGGGACCCATAAGGAAATGTGGATACAACAGAAGTCAAAGATAATAATATTAATAATAATAATAATAATAATAATAATAATAATAATAATCGCCTAGACATTGCGATCAAATACCACAAAAACAAAATATACTTTTTATTACTATATCAGTCTCTGCAGATTGCAATGTATCTTTGGAAATCTACAAGAAAAAAAATACAAGAACCTTGAAGTGAAAATCAAAAAAAACAAAAAAAAAAAAAAACAGAAAAGAGCCCAGTTGTAGTTGGAGTCCTTGGATTTTATGGAAAATGTTCTGGTAGACTTACTGAAGGGATTCCTGGGAGCCTATGCCTTAAAGCAAATACAAAAGATTATACTCACAAGTAGAGCTCACACCTTTCGAATGTAAAATGAGTGTGATCTGAGATATTTTTTTTCTCAAAAAATGTTCAGTGAAAAATGTCAAGGAGCCATTTCTGATCTTAGGTCTCTTGTCGAGACCCGGAAAGAAATGAGTATACACCAGAAATAAATAAACAATAATAAGAAGAAGAATAAGAATAATGATACAAAATTACAAATCTTTGTACAAACGTCGCGTGTCTTGAAAAAAATGCTTTTACTGGTAATCAACACAACGAAATGAATGAAATGCAGCCAGTGTGAGTGGAATGCAACTGAAATGTTAGTACCATTATTGGGTGTACTCATCGTGAACTTTTCTGTTAGTTGATTATTTACTAAGAACAATCAATCAAACCGCTTAGTATAAACCTTGTGGAATTCTCCTATCCTTCTGTTCCAACGGAGTGGGTCGTTTGTAATTTGCATATCTAATTATCTTCATTCGTTTTAAGGGTTGATAAGACGGTGGGGTCTGGATAATTTTTCAGAATATATACGTTAGGATGTTCGTCAAAATTACTTAGAGCGTGGTGCGAAAGTCTTGTCATCCCTATATAATATAATTTTCTATTTCAGATGACTGACACGATCTCCTAGAGTCTGGAAAGAGGCAATGTGTTATAGTTATCTGACTTTATATATATATATATATATATATATATATATATATATATATATATATATATATATATATATATTGTGTATAAATGCCTATAATTTATAACAGAAGCCATTGGTTTATATCAACGGCTTCCCATATTTAATATCTCGCGTGGTCATGTCTCGTATATACGACTTTGTCGTTACTTGAAAATTTTCATGCAGTAAGAGCGCACACTATCATTGTTGCTTCGTCCGTGTGTTGTTTGATTTATTGAAATTGCCACCTTTGATAATGGCTTGTGTAAGCCGAAAGCTTAGATTGGATTTAAACATGTATCAATATCAGACAATATGAAAGGAACTTACTTAAAATAAATAGAAAAAACTTGTCTATATTATTTAATGAAACATGCATTAATTTTATATATATATATATATATATATATATATATATATATATATATATATATCATAAAAGAAACAATTTATCCAAAGAATTAATTAGCAATATTAATTTGATTAATGGAGAAATCACTTCGCTAACAAGGCTTAATGTGACATTAACTTACTATCAATTCCTTGAATAATAAAATCCTTACGTCCAAGTTTTTGTCGGATGGAAGTCACATGCCAAGTACTTTCAACAATTTCAAATTGTTATCTCCAGGGTGACCTTTTTTCCCATACACAGGCAAACACTAAGACGAAATATATGTAAACGGAAAAACTTTTTTTTTTATGTCATTTATTGACAGTTAAATATATTTCTATAAACGTGCGATGCCGCGACGCTAGAATTAGCGGAGTGATTTCATCAACCAATTAATCATTGCTAATTAATTCTTTTTATACATTGTTTCTTTATGATATGAAATATCAGCTTCGCACTCCAATATATACATATATAGTCATCCACATACCAGCCTGTTTTGCTGTATCACAGATCGTCAGTGTGACTAGACATCCGATTGCTTTAAGCCGGGATCGAAATCCTGCTCGATTTGGCATCAGTCGGAGATCCTACCCCTAAGCTATCAGCGCGCAACAGAGAAAGGAAAATTCTAACGTATTATATACGGATATATGTAAACGCCAGCAGCTAGAGTGCTCAATTCATTAATGAAGTGCAGTGCGTTGATAGCGGAGACGGCTACTGTTTTGAAATTTCCTTTTTCTTAATAGTGCTCGAGCGAAATGACGAGAGCATAACTAACATTTTATCACGAACGACTATATGCATATATATATATATATATATATATATATATATATATATATATATATATATATTGTGTGTGTGTGTTATATTACGTGCTAAGGGAATGAATACTTAACACCAGGTGGATAATAGAAGAAAGGTTTATTGTACACGACAAGTACAACAAGTACAATATGAAATACGGTACAGTTATACATACAGGTCAGTGAGTGTCACTAATTGAAAGGTCGGACGTGTTTGTGTCTTCTCACTCTCACTCTTCCTCAAGTCTCTTGTAGACAGTTGACTTTATAGGTGCTTAGTACCTATAATGTAATCATTCATGGGGGATGTCTGGTTATTCCATTGCATCAATATATATATATATATATATATATATATATATATGTAGTCGTTCGTGATAAAATCTTCCACAAATTTTGTTAATGTCACATTGTTGTGTCTGACATCTTACTGTGGCAATTAAATCGTTTGTTTAATTTTTCCTTTGAGCTTCACACATAAATCAAGTCTTGTTTGATTCAATGGGTGGCGTATATCAAATAGGAATCAAGAGAACTGGGACTTTTTGAAGAAATCATAATGTTTCTCTTTGAAATTGTGATGGAATTGACTTAATTCTTGTTATTACGAAGAAGGTTTCCGCTTTCTATGACTGTTTCCTGATTTTAACGAGCAGAAACTCCAATGGAATTTTGAGTGTGGTTATTTGTATTCGTTTAAATTTATCTGTTGTTTCGTTTAAAAGAGACGATAGGCGGGTTGGAAATACACAAATTAAGTGAAACAAAACGAATAATTCCATTATTATCTACTTTTTTCGTATTTTTTCCCAATGAAACATGACCCAGTGCACATGTTAGTACATCGTATGTCCATTCGACTAAGTCGTTCCTTGAAGATTCACCACAGATTCTCGACTGTATTTAAATCAGGAGAGTTTCCGATCCAGTCTATAGTATTTTGAGTTTCTCACTGGTAAAGCTGCCATTGTGTTCGTGCTGCATAACTTCCATCGCAGACAAAGTCCGTAGAACAACTAATCGACAATCGAGACAATAATGTATGGGCGCGATGAAAAAAAAATTCATCATACACCCCGAAAATAGATTCATACTGTTGCATACCACTGCAAATGACGTAATCCGAGGAAAAAATATAAATGGATTATGCCCTGTCACTTCTGTGGGTCTAAAATAGACCTCATGGTGAAAGAAACTATCACTTAAAAAAGACATTTTGTTGAAATATTGTTTAACATTGGCAAACACGGTGTTTTTCCTTTTCTTTATCTTTTCTTACATCGTTCTTCTCTTAACTGTAATAATTATAATAATAATTATTATTATATCCCTGCTATGGATTAAATAGCACGATAACCAGTCCAAGAGAAGAAAACTCTGACTTCTAAGCCGTGGAGAAGCAACAGGGAAACCACATCCCTATGAGAAATCAAGTGTAATTCAAAGACAATAAACGAAAAGGAATCTATGAAGAGCCATGATGACCCATGTCCTGAAATAAACGAATTTACCGATTAATCTTTTACGGCCTACCAACCCTTTCCAGGTTACTTAAAGCGAGAAATTTAGATTGTAAGAATATTTGGGAGATAACAATGATTTAGTGATACAAGTTCTACTAAATAACCGATAGCTGGTTGGGAAAGGTGGGTTCATAACTTTCCCAAGGGTATTTTTGAGTAAGTGAAAAGAACGAACCTCACTGGATTGGAACTCGGCTCTCCGATTTCCAGTTTAGAGCATTTCACCACCTGTAGGTCCAAGTGTACAGCATCTGGTATTCCGAAGTGGTCACCCATCTAGGTACTGACCAGGCTCGGCGTTGCTTAAATTCTGTGATCTTACAAGAACTGGTCTTTTCATGAGATATGGTCGAAAGTCAAGACATGATCAAAGAAATCATAGGAAAATGGAGACTAAGAAAGAAAAGTGAGGAAAGAAAAATGAAAATGCTAGAAAGAAAGAAAGAAAGAAAGACAAAGAATAGAAAGGAAGAAACACAAAGAAAGAAAGAAAAGAAAGAAAGAAAGAAAGAAAGAAAGAAAGAAAGAAAGAAAGAAAAAGTTAGAAAGTAAGAAAGAAAGGAAGGAATGAAGGTGGGAAGAAAGAAGAAAGTACGAAAGAAAGCCAGAAAAGAAGAAAGAAAAAAAAAAGAAAGAAAGAAAAAAGAAAGAAAAATGGAAAGAACTGAATGATAAAATAATTATTAAATGGGGCTAAAAAAAGACAGTAGGAAGAATGAACGTGCGCAAAAGAGTAAAAAGAAAACGAAAAAGTTTGGCAGGAATATTGGAACGAAAATGATGCGAAGAAAAAAAAAGGAAAAATAAAAAGAAGAGAATAAGATAAAAATATGAATATCGGTTGAAGTGGGTTGGAAAAAAGAAGGGAATAATAAAGCAGGACTGTGTAATAGAAAAATATGAGATAAAAAGAAAGAAAGAGAAATGAAAAAGAAGAAAAAAGCAGGAGGAGGAGAACAAGAAGAAGAATAAGAAGAAGAAGGGGAGGAGGAGGAAGAGTGGTAGACAGGGAAAAGAAGAAGGGAACTTGAAAGAAGAAGTAGTAGGAGAAGGAAACAGGGAGAAGGGGACAAGAAGAGAGAGGAGGGGACAAGAAGAAGACGAAG